CTCACACACACACACACACACAAACACACAAGACACACACACAAATACATACAATTTACACAGACAACATCATCGTACCTGAAGTAAGCTCCATACGAACTAAATCTGGGTTCCAGCATAAACGCCATAGTAGACATGGTGGCGGGCAGATTACACGCCACAAACATGGCGGCCACCAGAACCACAGCTTGCACTGCCTGAACCCGATGAGGGGACACAGAGGAACAGCTGATGTTATATTTGGTAACACAAATCAAGAACATTTGAGATTCTCGCTACATCATACATTGTTTATAGGTCATAGAATAAAAAAAACAAAACAAGCAACAGAAATGTGGTTTCTTAGGAGAATGCTAAGAGTATCGTGGAAGGAAAAGAAATCAAATGAGGTAGTGCTTGATGAAGCCCACGAGGGACGCTCAATGTTAAAAACAATCAGGAAAAGACAAATAATGCAGTTTTGGGGACACCTGAATAGACATAAGGGTCTTGAACATCTAGCTCTCACTGGCAAAATTGGGGGCAAGCGACGCAGGGGTAGGCCCAGAACAACATACTTAGGGAATCTGGACAAACGGGTAACCGGGAAAGATCAGGGAAACGTAGCTTTTTTTGAGAGCATCCGAGCAAAGGAATGAATGGAAAACCATAATTGCAGATGTCTGTCGCAGATCTGGCACTGGATGATGATGATGATAGGTCAGTCACAGTTACTATGTGTCACTACGCGGTGGAATCAGGCGCTCGTCAGTTTTGGGGCATAAGGAGTTATTGGTATCAACGTAACGCTGCTGCATTTGTCTTGATTTTGACGATAAAAAAAATACCTATTTGTCTTGAATCATCATCATCATCCAGTGCCAGATCTGCGACAGACATCGGCGATCATGGTTTTCCATTCATTCCATTGCTCGGATGCTCTCAAAAAAGCTACGTTTCCCTGATCTTTCCATGTTACCCATTTGTTTAGGTTCCCTGTCGTGAAAAGAAGTTGAAATATTTGCTGTTGAAGGTAGTGGGGGTCACCTGGTATCAGGGGTAAAATTAGCCTGAAAATGGCCGCCAAAGTTTGGTTACTTCCAAAGCTTGAGTGCCCTTGAAAACTGCAAATTTACATTTTCGTGCCCTTGATAAACATTTTTCTAGTAAAAATCCAAGCAGGAATGTGTCTTTAAATGGACTTGAAAGGTTTTGAGCCAAATATAGAATATTCGAAAAAAAAAAAGTACTACTGCGAAAAAAATGGCAGTTTCTTGGAATTCATTATTTTGACGAGCGCCTGATTTCCCCATGATGCTTCCCATCATGTCACGTCTGTCCCACATACACGTACTGTCATTTTAATCACGTCAGCCACGCACGCTATCATAACGAAACATGTGCCAGGGAGATCGGCATTTCAGAAGGCTTGATTGAAACGAACTGTAAAAAAATGCTGCTTTACAAACAGCCCTCGAAATAGACCCGAGAGCTAATATGAATAAGATCGTCTTCACCCTCGGTGACATTGAAAACAAGTGGGCCTTACTCAGAGACACAATTGATGCAGCAGCGTTTGAAACAACTAGTGGGGGCTCTCGTGGCCTGGAAGTTAAGGTGTTGACATCTCATTAAAAAATCACGGGTTCGAATCGGGGTAGCGACCGAAACATTTTCTCCCCTAAAATTGTCTACTTTCACCTCCTTTCCTGCTCTCTAGCAATGTTCTGTCGTCTGCTTTCGTCTTCTCTTTCTGACTCCACTCCCTCACCTCATTTGCCCCCTCCTTTGGGCTCGTAACTCTTTCTGCTGCCTTTCTACTGCTACTCCTTGGCTCCCACTTACTGCTGTCTTTCAGCCGCACCCCTGATCTTCTGGTAGGAAAGATCTACATGTAGCCTTCTCGGACAAAGGCGAACAATCTCGGAGGGTCCGTGTGCAAGTTGCGCACGTTAAAGACCCATTAGTGGTCTTAAATAGATAAGAGTAGGTTTCGGCCGCCACCCGGGAAAAAATTTCCTACCAACTGAAAATATCAGGTCTGTCCCGCGTGCTCATATGACCTTATGCAGTTGCAGGGGCGTGAAACACTTACCAAAAACCCCCCCAAAAAACAAACAAAACAAAACCAACCAGTATTCCAAGTGGTCGTCTTGTGCACTTCTTTAATGGAAATGATAAAGTTATCCAGGACCCCATTCAAGAAAAGAGAAAACTAAGGCAGTTCTCAGCAAGTAAACCAAAATCCCAGTCAAAACGAGAATCATGTCTTAGGGTTTTGGGAAGGACATTTTCAGAAGAAATTAAGGCACATGAAAAGGGGAAAAACCCAATTGGTTTGAGGATGAGGTCAGAGAAACTTAACCGTGTGTGAATACAAGCAACACGAATAGGCTCTATGAGA